CCAAGCCGACGCTCTATCCACTGAGCCAAACCGGTCTCGGCAGTATTCCTCCTAAATTTAATGCCCATGAAGGGCATGTCTCATTGCTGGCGGTCCAGCACACCCACACTAATGAAACAAACCTTGGAAAGGGCCTCTCCTAGACACTATGAGACAGTTAACATGTAGGCTCAGATGATTTCACATGTGCTAAAGGTGTGTTTCCAAAATGTACACACATATGCTGGCTCCTCGTGTTGTTCTGGTTGTTCTGGCATTATTACATTTGATTTTCTGAGGTTAGAAAAAATGACTGAAAGTTTCCCATTTTGAGATGATGTGGGAATCTTTGATCTCCACCACTGACTTCACAGTCAGGCTGCACAGTTTATTTTGAGAAAGCAAATCCTTCCTGTTGCTTCTCAGGAAATGGAAGGACTCAATTTTAGACTATGTTTTAATGTTACCATTTAAATGGCTGCAACTTTTTAACTATGTTTCCCCTTTGAAGAATATTTAATTACACGGAGAAATTGAGGCTTTCAGAAAGAAAACAATAGCAACGGGGTGGGAAGAGACTAGTCTTCTCAGGCTTCAGCTAAAAGGGTAAATTTTTTTTAAATGTCTCACTCACACTGTTACACCCTGTCTCTTCTTGGGAAGAATTTTCCAAGCATTAAGTTGTGTAATAGCTTAATGAGGAAGAAAAAAAAAAAAAAAAGAAAAAGAAATGCCCGAATTTCTCTCAAATATGTAACAGCACAGAGAAAGATCTGAAGCTTCGTTTTAGAAAGTGTCCTGTCACCTGTCTGGGCTTGCACAATTACTGCAGCAATCTCTGGAGTTGCTCGTGTGACCTGGATTCACCTTCAAACCTAGCCACACCTCTGGGGCTTGCCGATGTCATTCCTGTTCTTTCTTCACAGGAGGCCGAGACAGGGAAATGGCTTTGAGGAGTACACCTTCCCGGGAAGCACAGACCCCACTGAGAAGAGGGATGAGACGCTTCAAACTACTACTTTCTATAGGCAAAGAAAACTCCCAGTGCAGAGGAAGAGATGGGAAGCGGGGAAAACTTAAGACGCTGCAAATATGCTCAGCCTTCTCCAACTATTGTGTTGAATCCTCTTCTGCATGCCACAGGCCTCACCAAGAGAGAGAGAAATAAACCCAGGGAAGATAAAAGGCAACCATAGTGGCCAAGACCACCATCATCACCGCCTTTATGAAATGACCCGCTCCTGGCTCAGGGATCCAGCGCACACAGCAAACCCACGCTCTCTGGGACTTCCTTGCACAACTCCCATCACAGCCCCGTGTTCCCGTTCCCCTTTCTGGCCCCGCCTCCCCTCCCAACGCCATGGGCAGGGCGGCAGGGCAGCAGAGCTGGGGAACACTTGGGTGTGGCCTGGTCTCATGTTGTCAAATCCCCAAAGGCACTGACATTACAAGCTGCTCTCAGAAGAACTCATGAATGATAAAGGGCAGGAATCTAACCACTCTTATCCTTCTGTCCACTCCTATTTGCCTAACGATGTACGAGCCTCCCAGAAGTTCTGCGAATTAGTGGCGACTTGAGAGGACATTTACTATAACATCCCCCACTGAAAGATGAGGAAACCGAGGCTCAGAGACATTAGCTGACTTCCCTGAGGCCATCCTCTGATAACGGAAGAACCAGTTTTCCTTTTGCCCTACTCTCTCTCTTTCCGGTCCCCCACACCCCACCATCTTAACATTTCAGGCAAGGCCTGTGTGTTTTATTTTAAAAGGTCATTTATGGTATTCAGCTGTATCAGGCAGAAAACAACAAAACAAAAAAACCCACCAGCACCAATCCCCACTGACCAAAACCCCCACAGGGCCTTCAGATGACACAGGACTATTACTCATCCTGAATCAATGAGCTCCTTTTTCCAAGTTAATTGTTACTAACTTTCAAATGCCTTCTCCAGGCCTCTCCACTCTCAATGGACTTCATCGGCTCCTACTTTACAGAGGAAACACAGCCATCAGGAATGAACTTTCTCGCTTCCTTCCCCTCCACGTGCACATTTACCTGCCATCAGACAGAGCTTCATTGAGTCCTCTCCTGTCCCAAAGGAAGGAATGTCTCTATTCCCTCCCAAGACGGCCCCTTGGAGCGTGTTTGTATTCCAGACCCCGGCCGCCCTATCTTTTCTGGAACCTCACTCCATTACTTGTTCTCCCTTCTACCTTTGGTCCCTCCAGTTTTCTCAAGCAAAACATAAGCTCCGGTCACCACTAGGCACACAAAATACTCCTTCCTGGACTAGTGTGTACAAACAAACACAAACACACACGTTTAAATTTGCTCCATAATTTGTTCCACTTGGTGCCCCCACTTCTCAACTCCTCCTCTTTCCGCCCCCATGACACCGAGATTTAGCCTGTAGGACTCGTCTCACTACCCACCGAATACCTGTTTCCCAAACCCATCTAGTTTAAGGAGACCAGACATCCCAATTTTTAACAATTTGTCCCGAGGCGTTTTAAAAAAGTCCTGATTTTTGGAAAATGGGGACTTTTTTAAAACACCGCGGGACAAATTGTTTAAAAATCGGGACTGTCCCACCAAAAGCGGGACGGCTTCAACTAGTTTCGATCCATACTCTACCTGGCCTTCCTGTGGCCTCTGACAGATTGGACAGCTTTTCCCTATTTATTTATTATCTGGGCTATGTGGCAAGCTGCTTACCTAAGCTTTAGAAAAAATAGCTTTTCTATAACAATAATGCCCTAGCTGGTTTGGCTCAGTGAATAGAGCATCAGCCTACGGACTGAAGGTTCCCAGGTTCGATTCCTGTCAAGGGCACATGCCTGGGTTGCGAGCTCGATTCCTAGGGGGGGGGGTGGGGCAGGGGGAGCATGCAGGAGGCCACTGATCAATGATTCTCTCTCATCATTGATATTTTTATCTCTCTCCCTCTCCCTTCCTATTCGAAATCAATAAAAATATACAAATAATAATAATAAAATATCAATAATTACTTCAGCGGGTATTGTTGTAAGGATTTACATGGAACCGTATTCCATCATTGTTCTCTCTTCTACTTTAGCTACTCCATTATTCTCAACCAAAATACAAAGTAACAAAAGAATGTAGGGAAACAGAAACATAAAACCACGCTGGTGCTCACTGTCACTAATGAAGGTTTCCTGATCCCCATGCTCTCCCCTCTTCTTTTGTCTGCTCAGAATGTGGTCCCTGGCCAAGCCTGGTGGACCTCCACTACATGCATGGCCACAACCAATCTCCAGTTTTAGTCACTTCCCAAGTCTCCCGTCCTGACTTCTCTCCTGGGGCCTAGGCCTCTCAAGATGGGCACCCCGACTTTTCTTCACACTGAACTCACTCTTCTCCCCAAACTTGCTCCTCTATGTTTCCACCCAGAAGAATGACACCTCACAGAATGGATCTTCCCAACCAGGGACATCAACTGTATCCTTTCTTCTTCCTCCCTCTTCCCCTCCCCCTACTTTCCACCAAATCAGTAATTCTTTCCACTAAATAATTCTCAAATCCATCTGCTCTCCTTTTCTTTCCTACCACCTTTGCCTTAGTTCCAGTCTCACAATTTCTAGCTGGATTTTTCAATAGCCACTGCACTTCTCCTTGCTTTCTTTTAACGTTATCTAAATAAAGTCATTTTAGCATTAATTTCACCTTTGATGGTTCCACAATTCTCTCAGAAAAAAGCCTACACTGCCAGAAGTAGCATGGATGGCCCTGGGTAAGCTGGACCAGGAATCTGCACGGAGGCCCCTCTGGCCTCTCCCCACTGCACCACAACCTCTCTGCTCCGATCACTCACACTCCGTGTTCCTCACACATTGAGCAATTCTGGGCTCTGAACCGGGGCAGTTTCTTCTGCTTTATCCCCCTTCCGATTAGTCCCGGTAAATAATCCTATCCCTTCAATCTCCACCACCAAAGTCCCCTCCTCTAATGAATTATTATTACCCCACTCTCTGTTACTATGTACCACAATGTATTGCTGTCAAGTGCCTCACATTCTAAGATCCAGTTAATGATCTATGTGTCTATCTTTGAGGTCAGGCACTGTGTCACAGACACAGTGTATCTTCAGAACTTAGCACAATGACTCCTACACAGCAGGTGGGAGGAAGAGAGATAAGGGAACTAGGATTTAAGTTCAGAGCTCAGCAAAGGTCTGCTGAATGGATGAAATAGCTTGGCTATCAGAATAATTGAATAAGAGAGAAGGCAAGTAAGACACGTGGATCTGACAGCTATGCCGTGAACACAGAGGAACCTGAATGAGAAATGGAAAAAGCATCCTCCCATTTGAAGTCCTCTCCTGAGTAAGTTCAGTCAGGTCAGTAGCTGGGGCTGTTATACTCAAACTCAGCGAATACCTAATAAATCCTGTTTAAGGCACAATAGGAAAACACTTCCAACAGTCCAAGGACATTGGAAGTGTTTTCCATGTCTAAACAGGTTTGGATTCTAGAACATTCTACATTACAATTTTATCAGACTTTGTGCAAGCTTAGTAAATTTTAGTAGTTAGACTGCAAACCCTCTCTTATATTCATAAAGTACCTTAAGAACTGCAAACAAAAGGAAATTCGCCAATTATCACCAATATAATTCTGGAACTTATGGCTAAGGGTCACATCTTTGGCTTCCGATAAACCAGGTCATGCTACATATATCTTGAGACCATAATTTGTCCCCACAATAATTTCAAATTTACTTACAAGTCATGTTATTTGTAGCATGGCTTCATCCCATTTCATAAACTAAAGAAATAGTACACCATATTCTGCATAGGGATGGAAATGCCCACTTACCAAACGAGGGGACTGGCATTCAGGGTGATGTAAGTTGGAGACCGGAGGAGGAAGGAGACCCACCAGTGCACTGAGTACAGCATGGAGAAAAGTAAACGTGGAAAACCCACTTTGAAACCAGCAATGTTTCCCCATTAATGAAGAGACATCTATAATTAACAGGCTTTCAAGAGTATTCAGCCATGTATTACGGCATCACACCTCATAAAACATTCATCCAAAAGCCATATCAGGAAAGCACATCCCAGCTCTATAAGCACATGCAGAGAAATGGAGAAGAAAGAGAAGCCTCTGAAGTGAGACACCCACTGTGCTACACAGATGACCAAGTATGAAAGGAAGCCATGGCTGCTAAATAATAATAGTAACAATGAAATAAAGAAGGAAATGTAATATTAGGAAGGTTAAGATTAAATTATGTTACTAAATAATGTTCCCAGAGAAGTAAACACATTTCCAGAAAATACATGTGCAGATATAGAGTTAACACAGATGCAAATGAGGGCAAAAAAGTCTACCTAAAATATTTTTTAACTTTTAAATTTGTATCAATCATGCTAATGAAAGCAAGTAATATAATAATGTTCATGTATATGTCACAAGAATATTTCAAAGGCACAGTAATTTAAAAAGTATATCAATGACCCAGGAATACACAAATATGCCATGTAAACAAACTAGAGATCTCAGAAAGAGAGCTGTTTAAACGTGCATGTATATGCCAGAGGTAGCATCAAAAAAATCTGTGAAGAATGGACGGTTTAGTAAGTAGTGGTGGGGAAACTGGCTCACGATATGAGCAGAATTTAAAAAATAAAAATGCGCCGAAACCGGTTTGGCTCAGTGGACAGAGTGTCAGCCTGTGGACTGAAAGGTCCCGGGTTTGATTGGTTGCGGGCACATCCCCAGTAGGGGGTGTGCAGGAAGCAACTGGTCGATGTTCCTCTCTCGTCGATGTTTCTAGCTCTCTATCCCTCTCTCTTCCTCTCTGTAAAAAATCATTAAATATATTTAAAATAATAATAATAAAAAAATAAAAAATAAAAATGGGTTTTTACCTCATGGCTTAAATTAAAAATAGTTTAAGAAACCCAAATATGAATAAGACTAAAAAGCTAATGAAGTAAGGAGAAACTATATTGTGAGCCCAGAATAGAAAAGGATTTCTTAAATAACTCAAAATGCATGGACTACAATATTGAAAATTGGTGGGTTCAACTACATTAAATTCAAGACTTGTTGTTAGTAATGAGATGTGCATAGGCAAAGTAATCAGGCAAGTGACATAGTAGGAGAAAATATCCGTGATAACTAAAGGTAAGAGATTAATTTCTAGAATATACAGGGAGCCCCCAAAAAAATCTTTTAAGGGACCTCTTATAAGAAAAAGGCAAGAGACCCAATTCACAGAGAAGAAAAATTAAATTAAGTAAACCTGGGACATAACCCTGACAACCAGACCTGCACAGTTCCTAATACCATTAGTATGCTCATCTCCTAAGACCCAGCAATACCACTTTGGACAGAATTGTCTCAAGAAACTCTCACCAATAGATTTAATATGCGTAGGCTCCTTGAGAAGCAAATACATACTGCATAAAGGCCAAACATATTGAAAGGTTGACTCTAGATGTCTTTATTCCTCAAATCTGCACATACTATCAATATGTGGTTTTAACGGAACCTTTGCTGAAAAGGTAGGTAACACTGAGCAAAATACTACCATTTCTCTATAGAGTTGAGCGTAAGGAGAAAGAAGCAGATGCAATGAGGGGGATGTTTTAGTGTGGGGACTGACAAACATGGATTCGCGTCCACTTGAATAAGTTACAATCTCCTTATGGGGTGATCACTTAGCTAGTCACATAAAGGTTTAATCAATCTGTTGTACACCAGAAACGAATGTAATAGTGTATCATATGTCAACTGTAATTGGCAAGAAAAAACAATCATAAAAAAAGTTACAATCTCTGCCTGCCTTAGTTTCATCATCTATAAAATGGCAATATTACCTACCCTGCACAACACCGGAAGGATCAGAGATAGTCCATGTAAACTGTCTAGCACAAACAAGGTGTTCCGTAAGTGGGAAGTGATTTTTTTTTAACCAGGAAAAAAGATCATCATTCGCTAACCCTAAGAGACTTTGGAGCTCTGCCTATCCTGTCTTAAACAGAATACCCAAGCCACAGCAACGGGCATGGAAACTGGAGATTGATTGATTCAATGTTAACTAACGTGTCAGTTTTTTCCACTACAGAATAGGAATAAATAATCTCTCTCCTCCCATATATTTATTGAAAACTGAAAAAGTGATGGTTGCGAAGTGTCTTTTAGCTTCTGGGAAATGAATATAAGGCTGCTGGTGGGGGTAGTTGTGGCAGCTCTTATTCTGTAAATAGTGTCAAGAGTCCTGACTCTACAGACATAATGAGGCAGGGCTGTGCACAGCAGTACTGTCGGGAGCATGCTCTTAGAAGAAAGCAGTTCCCATGACTGAGTAACTGCAGGACCTCCAGAGTGACCATGAAAAGCAAGTAACCCAGAAACCAGAGCAGATCCGAAGTCAGGACTTGACGCAGCATGTATTTAATGCATAACCAAGAGGGAAAATTCCACCTGGGAATCTTGATAACCTGCTGGCTAACACACAGCACATTTTACATCACCCGTTCAGTAGTTTCAGCAGGGAGCATTGTTTTATTTTGGTCCTACCTGAGGATTTCAGAGTCCTGACCGAGTCTGCCTCACACATGTATGTACTATTATTTTACAAACATGGGAAGATGCTGTGGTCATTAGTTACAATAAATATTCAGTTGAGTAATATGAAATGCTCACTTTGTCATTAAATATTAGCAATCATAGTAAATAAAAAGTATGACTTTAAACAAGTCAAAATCTTTGAAATCTTTGAGTATTAAATACAAGCTTCCTGGTATTTGTAATGATGGAGAACCATGGCTTTAAAGTTTACAATTTCTAACCAAAGGTAATTTCTATTTTATAATAAACATGAAAGAAAGAAGAGATTTGAAAAATGATAATTCTACCACACATATTATCCCCACCCCTAGTCCTCTCTCGGCCATAAACTTTTCCTTGGCATTTAACATCAAAGCTAGTTACCCTTTCTTTGTGAGTTCACAAGCCATTGCAACTGCCCAAAACAGACAGAAATGGTAATGCACTGTGTATTAAGAAAACATATATTATCATTTCGTTCCTCACTTATAAAACAAAGGTCACTCACTATATTTCTCCCCTACTTTCTCCTCCCCCTCCTGATATTTTAACACTATTTTATAAAGGGGAAGTTATAGATCACTATAATACTCCGATGTTGAAGAGAAATTATTTTATCCGGCACTTTCTGATCCAGTGAAAATGTACCCCAATTTTTATTTATATTCTTCTCAGGACAATAGAGACCCCTAGATAAAGAAAGCCTTAACTTGAAGCACCACAAAGATAGGAAAAATAACCTTTTCATTTGAGGAATATTACAAAATACTTTAATATTGTATTATTCTAAGTGCACATGGGCTTGCCCATGTCTTTCTGTAATATCAGCTTTCCAGGGTTATCCTGAACTAGGGTGGGAGTAGGGAAGCTATGTATAGTGGAGAACATCATATACATCATTAATTAATTAGTGATTTCTTTTCTGGGACAAAAATTGCCCTACAGATAAACTGGTAGTATTGTTTTTTATTATAAAAAGTTAAAATATGCTAATCTGACCCTTCAAAAAGAATACTGTTCACTAAAGCCTGAATAAGATTATCTGTTAATGAAAAGATGGCATTAGAATTTTGGCATCTAATAATCAGACTTTTGTTCAAGTCCCAGCATCTCCATTTACTAATATGACCACTGACAAGTCACGTTTTACCAACCTCAATTTTCTCTCTCCATAAAATGAAGCAAATGAATCCTAGCTCACTGGACTGTTACAAGGAGTAACACATTATAAACGAACTACAGAAAATGTGCTCTGTAAACACAAAGTGAGAATCTAAAGACTAGCTATTATTATTCCTGGGTTATTATGTAGTCATTACTAAATTCTGCCGGAGTGGGAGCAAATCCTGCTCCTAAACAGAGGACGGGTTTGGAGGGTTACGAAGGCTGTTCTATTTTATCTTAAAGCAGAGGAACAGCTGCTGAAGGTAGTCTTCAAATAAATTAATGAACCGGGGTATAAAACAGAGGCAAAATACTACGGTTGTTCAGGTCTTTCAAGAGTGTCTCTTAATGACTGGTTTTCTCTTTTAATCTCATGATGTACTTGGCAAGAGAAGAGGGATAAACACAGACAGTTTATGGTTCAATTCAAATTTAAAGAGCCCACATCTATGTATCTAGAAAGTGATGAGATTAATTGCTCAGTTCTCATAGTGTATCTTGGCTACTTACTAACACAATTATGCCAATTATTGATAGCATCATAAATGCTCAAAGCAGCTGCATTTTAAAAAGAGATTCAAGTTCTGAAGGGCCATTGGAATAATGGGATCTTATCATTCAAATTACCTCCATATTGCTTATAGGAATGAAGAAAAGGAAGGGAGGGAGGGAGCAGTACAAATTTTACCAGCCTACCTGGCTTCCAAAGATTTTTCCTTTCAAAGCAAAAGTTATGCAGCAAATATATCTTATTATAAAACATTCAGGTTAGAATGGTACAGTCTGCATTCAACATCATGAATTTAAATATGACAGCTAACCCTGCTTCCTGAAGAAGCTTGGTGGCCCCATAAGCGGAAAGAGCTAAGACCTTGTAGTACTGTCATGACTTCCCTCCCTGCTACAGAAAGACACCCTTCTTTGCAGAATCGCACTTTCCTTCCTACTAGTCATCTATCCCTGTCCCTTCCTCCAAAACAGCGTAAGTGCTTGAGCACTGTTCAAACATTTAACTCGAGGCCATACAATCTTCTCATCAAACTGGTTCTTCTCGGCCACCCCACCTCCCCAGGTCCCTTCCCTCCACAGAGTCCCACCAGGTAGACAAACAGAGGTGGAGGAACAAGCAGGGCTTTCACTGGACTCAGTCTGCAGAGACAGAACCTGCCGGGGGAGTGAAGCAGCAAAACCATTTCCCCCTAGCGCTTTGTTTCCCACCTATGAACGTGGGAGGTGGAGCAAGCTATGGAGGAGAAATTATAACCCAGCAAGTGGATTTCAGAAAGTCGTTCTCAGTTTCGCTCTGATGGCAAGATGGGGATGGAACGAATAAGGCTGCCTGGCTCCTGCCTTTCAAAGTGCCCTCTGTCTCGGCGAGGGAGCCTGGCTGAGAAACCACGCCGGAGTTCACAAGCCAGACACCAGACTAAACACCCCAGAACGAGCTGCCCCCTCGTTCTCGGTGGCTACCTTTCCGCTGCTGTGTGTCTGCACCACTGCCCTCAGCTCCTGATGTCCTGGCTCTCCCCACACAGGCAGCAGGAGAGCGGAACTCCTGTTTCACCAGCTGAACGAGGTGGGATTTCTGAGCCTGGACTCCTAGCCTCTGGCTCCCCCTTCCACCTTCCACTTCCCCTGCAGTCCACCCTCTTTCCTTCCTAGGACCCTACCTCTCCTCCACTCGCCCCACTCTTACCACCACCCACACAACACGCCTCCCAGGACATGCATGCATGATAAGCCCAGGCCAATGAGTGAGGAACAAAGAGCCGCTGCTTCCAGCAGCTGGAAGAGGAGGAGGAGGAGGAGAAGGAGGAAGAGAGGACAGACAGCTGGCGACTCCTGGACACAGGCGTCCAGCCTGGAAAGCGCCCGCCTCGGGTGGATCCCGCTCAGGGTCAGCGGCGCTGCGACCAGAGTTTGACAGGAAACCCTTGGGGGAGAGAGCAGGACGTGTGGGGCGCAACCCAAGAACATGCACGCAAGTCCCGCTGCAGCCGGGGGAGCTGGAGATCCGGCTCCGCGGCACCCGGCGGCGGCCAGTGACAGCCCCGCGCCCGCCCGCCGCCCCGCCGGCCCCACACACGCACCTGGACCCGGCGGCCACCCGCTGCCTCAGGGCGCTCTCCGGGGACTGGGCTTCCGGTGGGCTCCGCAGGCTGCACCCCGCGGCGGCGCGGAGACTTCACTCCTCCATCCTGGGAGCCGGCAGCACGTTACAGACAGCCGTGCACTTCCTGTTTGAAAACACGGGGGAGAGAAAGGGCGAGAGAGAACCCAGGGTTGGCGGGGTGGCGGGAGAGGCGCGGGCCGGCGGCGGAGGGGAGGGCGCCCGAGGGGCTGCGGGCGGCGTGGCCTCTGCTCGCCTCGCCATGGTGGGCGCTGGGACCCGCCACGCCGGCCAGCGACCCCCGCGAGCGGGCTCCCCGGGCCCGGGCCTCCCCCTGCCGGCCGCCTCGCCACCAGCGCGGCCACCAGCCCAGCGCGCGCACCGAGCCCTTCCGTTTCCAGCCCCGGCCAGGGTCCCCCCTCCCCACAGGCACCTAAGTCACTCAGCTACAGGCTTCCTCCCGGGCTCCAGCACTCAGCGTGGTCTGCCTTCCTTTTCACCGGTTCCTCTCCTCCTCCCCTCCCCCGCCCTTGGGGGGGGGAAAAAAAAAAAACCGCCTTAGGGAAGGTGTAAAGACAAGGCTGAGCCTTTGCAGGGGAGTGGAGGCTGGGTTTATGCAAAATGTTGAAGTTAACAGCTACATCCCGATAGATCCCCTCCAGCCCCTCTGCTTTAAGAGCTTCAGGATGGGAAACTACTTGTCTGGTGCCTAGATGACTCAAGAATGTGCGCACAGCTGCCAGGAACCAAGGGGGGGGGGGGGGGGAGAGAATGTATTCCGGGTTCCTAGCTAGGATCTCTCCTCCTGGGATCCTAACCCCAACACTGACATATAAACCAGTTTTACACAAAAGACCACCGTGTGGTGCACTCTTTCAGTGTTTCTTTGGGTATGAATCACCTAGCAGTTCCAAAGTTCTGGGTTTATGTTCATTTCGTTAACCTCTGACTTCGGTGAACTTCAGGGTGGTGTTTAAACAGTAGTGAACAGATGGTATGAGAGTCTGCCATCCACAGAGCACACCAGCTTGAGGAGTTTGTATGTGGTCAGTGCCCGGTTCTGGGCTGCAGGTGTGGAGGGCTCCATCAGAACGACTTGCACACACATTTATCAGAATACTGTCTCTAACAAACAGCTCCTTTCCTCATCAAGCTGATGGCTTAAATAAAAGTTACTCGTGTCTCAACACTAAACCCGGAGAAGAGAACATCAAGGATGATTATTCTACTACATTAAAAAGCTAAATTGTGATTGAAGTAGATAGAAACGGACAGATATAAAGCTCCTACTCGGTGCTAGACAGCAACTCGTTTTAATCTCCTGGTAGTCTAAACACTCCCCAATAGATGTGTAAAAGTCCTATCCCCACATTCCCAACTGAGGAAATAGGGTCCAAGAAGTTCAGTTACTGTCCCAATGTCTCCGCTACAAAGTGGTCAAACAACAGGTCTTTCCTAAGTATAAAATCTGGGCCATCTCCTCTACCCTGTGCTAATTCTCAAAACAACAGTGAATTCTGGGAGAAAAAGCGAGCCCAGTGACCATCCAGGATCCCTTCCTTTTTTTTTTTTTTTTCTTTAAACATATTTTTTATTGATTTTATACAGAGAGGAAGGGAGGGAGACAGAGAGTTAGAAACATCGATGAGAGAGAGCCATCGATCAGCCGCCTCCCACACACCCCCCACTGGGGACATGCCCGCAACCAAGGTAGATGCCCTTGACCGGAATCGAACCCGGGTCCCTTCAATACCCAAGCCGACGCTCTATCCATTGAGCCAAACCAGTCCCGGCCAGGGTCCCTTTTTTTATATCTGAGTGATCCTGAAATTTACATGCCGTCCTTCCGCAGGAGTCAGGTTCCCGACCCACCTGAGTGAATAATGTGAACCTTGACTACTCGAGCAGAGGACAGTGTGATCTTTCTCATTATCTGCACTGGCTCTGTCAGCCTTTTCAGAATTACTCGGTGGCAAAAGTTCAAAAGGTTCTAGGATAGCTACTCACGTGCCAAAGTACAAAGTCTGTCCAATTTAGAACATAATCAGCTGACTAATATTTGTTTCTTGAATTCTTTTTCTCGAACTGGGCCTTTTTCTCGCACTGGGGCGGGGGGAGACAAATGCTTGGCCTCAACTTTTACTGAAACTGTCAAAATTCTCTCTTTTTCCATTTCTTTCTGCTTTAGCACTTAGTTTACACTCCCTTGTCAGTAGCATGCTTCTAGTCTCCTCCTGACAAGCCATGAAGCGGAGCACATATTAAAAGATGATTAAGATTCCTGGCAGTGGTGAGACCCCAGACACTTGTAGAGTGAGTGAGAAAGTGAGTGCTTTTGTCTTGTCTTCTGATGAACTAACTGCACCTCATCACCTGCCCTTCCCCATCGCCTCACTGAGCAGCACAGGCTCTGGAGTTGTAGGACATGCAGGTGAGAGGCTAGATCCGTGGTCGGCAAACTGCGGCTCACGAGCCACATGCGGCTCTTTGGCCCCTTGAGTGTGGCTCTTCCACAAAATACCACGGCCTGGGCGAGTCTATTTTGAAGAAGTGGCGTTAGAAGTTTAAAAAAAAATTGGCTCTCAAAAGAAATTTCAATTGTCGTACTGTTGATATTTGGCTCTGCTGACATTCAATGAGTTTGCCGACCACTGGGCTAGGGCAAGGCCCTCAAGTGTGACTGGCAGGACTGGGCGGGGGCAGAGATGCATTCCCACTCTTCACAGTCTCATGAGGGCTTATTACTAACAACCTCCTGTGGGCTCTTAGCATCCTTTTAGGGTCCAGCTCTGCCTCTGCTGCCTCCTTTATCCTTCTCACACTCCCTTGCTTACCATGTACCTTTCTTCAAAAATGTAATGCTTCCTCCTAAAGCACTGCCATTTCTTCCCCACAGGCGGGCATTTAGCTCAAAACTTCTCTCTCACTTATTAAATGTTGTCAATAATTACCACGTTTTAAAAAATGCAACTCTATTTTAAAAGGCCTTTTGGCATTCTTGCCTTCATTTCGGTTACTCATTAGAGCTCCAAGAGCCTAGAAGAAAAACCTCTGAAGACAAACGAGACTCTTTAAAAAAAAAAAAAAGCAAAGGTAGCATGTTTAAATTAACCTGGATGAACTCCAAAGTTCACAGTTAGGATAATACATCACTAAGATTGCATCAGTTCCTGACACGTTTCCTCACAAGCACAGGGCCCGACCATCATGTCATACCTTCCCACAGTTTATTTATTCTCCTGCCCCTTCTGTATTTCACGGGGAACTATTTCATCCTTACCACCACTGAGCAGGAAAAAAACATTAAACTCACAACCGCATAAGAAGAGAGAAATTATGCTCCCAAGTAAGCACAAATGATACCTCAACATATAAAAGTGATTCTGGAAGAAGACAGGAGGTTCATTTCGAAAGTCTCCATTCCCTAAGTACCACGGTCCATGGATGACGACAGCAACATTGAAAAGCCAATTTTAGAGGCTCCGAATTGACAAGCGGTGCTTTCCTGAGGACTAACGGGTGTGGAAGAAGAAATGATAGACTCATATCTGAAATGCTGCTGCTTATCTTTCTTCATCTTAGAAAGACCTTCCTTTAAAAATGGTTAACAATGTTTGCCTCAAGGTTTCTCTGCGTGATGATTCTTGGTCATTACTGGAGCTGGATTTTACAAAAAAAAAAAAAAGACAAACTATTTGGTGACCTAAGAAACTGCCTCTCTGTCCTAGCAGCCTTCAAATGGTATGTCCTTGTCTGTGTCTTCACTTCCAGGGTAGCTCCTGCAATAGGCTTTTCTGTAATGGAGGCTTCTGGCCCTGGCAATCACCTTCTGGCCTCGGCAAAACCTGGGCCATGGCTTTTAAGGAAGATGTCCTCAGAGCCAACTGGCTGGCTCGTCAGGCATTTGCCCAAAGAGGGTCATTAACCGTCTTCAAGGAGCCAGACTGTCATTTCCCATTACAAAAATGTAGCAAGGGGTGTAAATCATTCTCATTATAAAAATCTGCCGGCAGGATGGTTTCAGCTTCTTCCTGAGAATGGAGTTTCTTGGTGTTGAACAAGTTGAGGAGGCTAGCAGTCCTTACAGCACCCCACAGCAGGGCTTGGAAGACCAAGGTAGAAACTCAGGGCCGGGTGGCACCAGGCCTGTGCTTGTATGTCCTTCAGCTCAGTGTGTCGGTTTCCTCAGCTTCCAAATACCCTAACTCTCCGATGCTGCACAGACTTAGTGACACTTACATGGGTCCCTCGCCTGCCCTGCCCCACTGAGTTCTCAGCATTGCTTTTGCAGGGAGAAGTCATCCTCTCTGACAGAGGCAGCAGCCGAGATCACAGATGTTAAGTCATTTTTCTCAAAGCAGTAGGTAACAGAGCTCAAATTCACCCTGCTCTGTTCTTTCTCCTCTTAATTGGAGAGATGAGCGGGTGCATTTTGGCTGTGGATGTATTATTCTGTGCTGCACATCTTTTATGCAGAAGAATCTCCCTTTCAAAACAACTTGTAATGCTCTTTTTCAACTGCATCATGTTACTTCATCATCGTGCCAAACTTTTGGAGGGTATAAACTATAAACATGTATTTTGCAACAGGCCAATTTATGTTTAAGTTCTAGGAATATGTTGATATAAATTGGGTTAAATATGCAGCTGAATATTATTTTATATAATAAATAAGACAGATCCACTAGTCAATCCAACTGTGAAGGATAAAATCTTAACACAGGCTTTCGAAGTTCCCCCTCCATTCTTTAGTTAGTATGCAAATACACATGCAAAGTGGGCCATACTGACTAATGGACTGTGATTTCGTAAGCATTACTATGAAAAAATAGCAAGAAATCACCGTTTGACTAAATGCAAATACCTGTATATAATTTAGAGTATTCAAAAATGTTCTTGGCATAGACTGCTAGCAATGAACAGCTTCAGGCTATTTGCTGGCTCTTGATCATAATTTATGTTGTGTTGACTAAACATTGTCCTATAACACATTTCTCTTTGGAAGGCATGTTTTGTCTATTAATCTTCTGTAATGGACATTTCTGTTCCTTTATTAAAATATATTTTAAATTCTCTTTAAGCATTCATTTAAAAATAATATATTAAAAGTCCAACAACTTAAAAGGATTGATCCTAACAAGTCAAAGAAATATAATGTTCGTTACTAATACTACTACTACTAATAATAATGTTTTTCAAAAGAATTTAAAAATATATAAATTTTTCCTGGCCAGGGGGCTCATTGGAGCATTGTCCCATAAACCAAAAAAGATTGCAGGTTAGATGCCCAATCAAGATGAGTACAGGAGGCAACCAATCAATGTCTCTCACATGTCTCTCCCTCTCCCTCTCCCTCTCCCTCTCTCCTCTCCCTCTCTCCTTTTATATCTCTAAAACATATTCTCAGGTGTGGATACACACACACACACACACACACACACATCTGTACAATTATATATCTTAAGGTAGCAAAACAGGAGTTAACAGGAATAAGTCCCACACATCACTGTAACTGAGTATATCTATTCTCAATTGTAATGGAATTTTAATGAAGAAAGCAATTTATGAATAATTTATGGTGGCAAAAATCAGATAATTTGATTTTTCATTTGCCCGCAGTGAAATGGCTAAGACAAACAGCAAGAAAGAGAAACAAAGTACCTGCAAAATTCAGAAATATTATTATAAACTTGTGAAATATTATTTGTAAATTTTTATATTTTAAAGTATAGATGGTATACAATATTATGTTGGTTATATTAGTTTCAAATGTATAATATAGTGACTGTACATTTTTATACTTTACAATGTAACCACCCCACCAGTTCTAGTAATCATATTCTCAATTTTTAAATTGAATCTAGTGAAACAAACTCAACCACTTGATGTGCATTAACTCGGTTTTCCCAGACAACAACCCAATGAGGTAGAAATCATTACCTCCACATTACAGATCAGGAAAAAGACAAAGATATATGAAGTCATTTGCCCACAGTAACATTGCTAGCAAATATCTGAACTTGAGCAGCCTGGCTGGCCACAGAGTATATTTTTGATCTACCCATTTTACTACTGCACAACTGGACTGGGCTTGCTTTCTCCAGCATGAAAGGTCCTGGGGAACAGACCCATAGATATGACAGAAGGAGCAGAGTAGCTCCTGGGCTTTCTTTTTTGCAACAAAAATGTAGGAAATCGGGGATGCAGAGCCCACTAGAAGTTGCTTAAAAAAGAAATATTGAAAAGAAAGGGAAATATATTTGCAGAATGGAAAAGCCAAGACAAAGGGCTGCTTCCTCACCTTGACCAGAATCTGAAAGGCTACAGGAGTGAATTAGCAAGGACATGGAATGAAATGAATCTATGTACTCTGATCTTGGTGAAGCATTTGATAGTTTTCATGAAGTTGCGATTATTACTAAGTCAACTGAAATTTACCTATACATATAAAACCCTAATATGCAAATAGACCGAATGGCAGAACAACTCAACAACTGGTCACTATGATGTGCACTAACCATCAGGGGGCATGTGGAGAACATGGCAGACGTCAACTGCAGTGGGATGGTAGAGCAGGTGAGCGGGGGCACAAGACTAAGGTGGGGCACCAGTCACTGTCATTGGGGTGAGCCTCTGGTAGTCACTGAAAATTCTTTGCTCCCACCCAGCACTCGCACCCGCTGCCAGCCCCAATCACTTGGTGCCATCAGTGGGTGCAAGTAGCGGCTGCCCACCCCAATTGACCCTGAGGGCTTCTCCACCTCCCCCTGCTCCTGAGGAGCCATTGGGGCAGTAGTTGCAACTCGAACCTGCTGACAGCGCCAGCCCTAATTGCTCCATGCCTTCAGCGGATACAAGCAGAAGCAGGGCTGCTGGCAGATAGGGGACCGGGGAACCATGGCAGGAAGGGCCAGGCGGGGGCATGGAGGATGGGCTGAAACCTGCCCCTGTGCCCACCGCAGCCTTGCATCCACAGTTCCTTTCAAGGTGCACAAATTCGTGCACTGGGGCCTTAGTATGGCTATAAGAACAATACAGAAGTTAAGCAGGCTGGAAAGAAAAACACTGGCTAGCACTGGCCCGTTTGGCTCAGTGATTAGAGTGTCAGCCCTCAGATTGAAGGGTCCCATGTTCAATTCTGGTCAAGGGCACATACCTCGCTTGCAGGCTCTATACCAAGCCCAGGTCTGGGCACGTGAGGGAGGCAATCAATGGATGTGTCTCTCTGACATTGATGCTTCTCTCTCTGTCTCTCCCCCTCCCTTCACTCTCTCTACAAAAAAATGAAAAAAATATCCTCAGGTGAGAGGATTAACAAAAAGAAAAAGAAAAACACTGGACAGATCTACTAGTATGTGAAGAAAAACACAAGGAACAGCTCCGTATTCAATCTGTATTAAAAAGTAACAGGAATTATTCATGCTGTTAAAATCAAATTTGCACAAAACATTAATTTGGGAGGTATGAAAAGGGCAAATGAGGGAGAACCGACCTCAATTAACAGAGGTGAGGGAAAACAAGAAGTTCAGTTTCATTTTTGGCTCCCTTTAATTTTCAGGGAGCTGAGATGCCCAATAGTGAAGGAAGCAACAGCACATTGCATATATTGAACATTTTAGGACCTTGGGTCTGAACTTCAAAAAGCATGATCCCTCCCAAGCTGGTGTGGCTCGGTGGTTGAGCACTCACCTATGAATCAGATCAGGGTTCGATTCCGGGCCAGGGCACATGCCCAGGTTGCAGGCTTGATCCCCGGTAGGAAGTGTGCAGGAGGCAGTTGATCAGTGATTCTCTCTCATCATTTGCTGTTTCTACCTCTCTCTCCTCCCTTTCTCTCTGAAATCAATAAATATATATATATATATATATATTTTTTTTTTTTAAAGCATGATCCTATTATTTTTCTACGTGCCATTAGTAAAGTTCCATGGGAAATAATATTTCTTTCTACAAGAACACTTTGTTAGCAAAACTCAAAGCAATGAGGGGGCTCAAAGGCTGAATTTAGAGGTCAGACGCAAGAGTCAATGGTGTGTGTATAATCTGGCCCCACTACAAATATGCCGCACAGGCAGAAGGTCATGAGAATGGTTTGGGAACACACGACAGGATAAAGAACAGCGGAGAAGGAAGAGAGCTAAAATTTGGACTAATGTTATTTTTTTAAGCATAAATTATAATTTCTAATTTCTTTAATGTTGAGAAATCACTTCTCCCTTGATAGAACTGTTTGCCTTCCCAAAAATTATACTTATGAAGTCAGTAGCTGATTTAGAACTCAAGAAATGGCCTAAACTCATGCTGGGTCCCAGGAAATGTACAAGTGAGTATCATATTATGCAACTCCTCAGAGACTCCAGAGCTGAGCCATGTAGCCCTGGAGCCACCATGCCCCAGGCACTGAACTCCAGAGTCCAGGCTCCAAGAGAGACTGTCAATGAAGTGACAGTCACCAAGGGAATCCTAGATTGTCCATTTCCTGCTAAATAAAGAATAACAACAGAAAAGGGAAAGTCAGCACAAAGGCATAATAATTACAGCCGAACAACAATCTAGATTATGAATGGGAAAGTTTATGTGAAAACGATTGTGCTCTGAGATTATTATTAATATGTATAGAGAATAAAAAACAAACCATAAAGCTTAAGTAGACAGAACTTTCCCAAGGTATAATTATTGGCCCCTTTCCATAGTTTAAAAACATCCACACAATGACAAAAACAAATTAACCTCAGCCCAGACCCTTTGCCCCAATGTCCTAACGCCTAAAAGGCCTATGCTCGCATCTGGCTAAGCTCAGACTTACTTGCAGGGCCTCTTAAACACTATTTCTCACCTGGCAGTCATGGCCCAGTAATTGAACATGAACCAGGATGTCACAGTTAACTCACGGTCAGGGCACATGCCCAGGTTGCGGGTTTGATCCCCAGTGTGGAGCCTCAGAAGGCAGCCAATCAATGATTCTCTCTCACCACTGATGTTTCAATCTCTCTTCCTCTCTGAAATCAATAAAAACATTTTTTTTAAATAAAATAAAAACTCTGTTTCTCAGACCCCACCCAGATCTACAAGCATCACGATAATCACTTGGGGTAGGGAGATGATAGGGGGGAGGG